ACCAGGAGTGAACGGCAGGGCGGAAGCGGGTGCCTGGGCAGCTGCTGCCAGGCGCTGCGGAGGTGTGAGCTCCAGGCGCCCGGGGCCTGTGGCTTCTTTCAGCACCTCTTCATTTTGAGCTGTTAAAAGCAGAGACATGAGCTGGCGGATGGGGTTGCAGGCGTCGCCTCCCCTGGGACCGCTGTGGCCGGCCCCCTGGGATGTCAATCTCTTCCTTCCGCATAGCCCAGTCCAGGCTGATGCGCCCAAGTTTCCTGTGCCTTGTACCCTGCTTTGAACCCCTTACTCCCCAAATTCCCTGCTGACAGGCCCTCAAGCCCCAAGAAGTCTCATTCGGAAGATCTTTCTCTTCACCAGATTATCCTGAGGAAATCGGAGCAGGGATGTGATGGTCACCCTTGCTGTGATTTTGCCCACGCTCTCCATCCTCGGGGGCGGGTAGAGTTCACCCCTACCCAGGTGCCTTCAGAGGATCAGGGAAAACATGTCCTCACCCCAAAACAAGCCTTTCTGCAGTGAGGCACCCACCCAGGAGCGCCAGATTTGTCTTCTGAGGACAGCCTTGGAGCACACCCAGGCACAAATCTTCCCAAGTTCACTGCTGCAGCACTTTGGTCTATGCTCCTCAGAGCTGAGCCATGCACTGGGGGTGCCACACGTGTGCCGAGGGGACCCCGAAATTGAGGCACGGGGCAGCAGCTGCCTTCGCTCCCTGCAGCCTCGTGTCCAAGCACCAGATGCACAATACCTCCCTTGCAGGGAGGAAAGGGAAACGTGATGGCCTTTCCGACGGAGGGAAGGACCGCTGTTGTCTAGACGATGTGACTAAGGAGGGAAGGGGCCGACTGTTTGTACAGCTTGGGGGAGTGTAAACAATGTCGACAGTCCCAAGCCCTTCAAAGTGGAGGAATCCGGAGATGGGATGAAAGCGCAGGGAAATTCTGGCCGGGTGTCCAAACGGAGAGGATAAGGAGAAGGGGACCTCTTTGAGATAAAATCCCCAGCACCTGAGCCATTTCAAAACCAGCCTGAGCGCCGGGGGACAGGCAGAAAGGAGCAGGGCAATGCCACTGGCCATGGGCAGGGCTGTGTGTGGGCTCTCAGGATTTTCCCAGCTCTGGTCGCTTCTCTCTGCAGTCTCAGAATAAGAGTCGTGAAAATGAAAGCGAAGGCCCTGGGAATCCCGCTCTGCCCCACAGTGAGCTGGTTTGGCCTCTGCACTTCATTCAGCTCACAAAAGAAAGAGAAAATGTTTGAGAGGTGGTTTCCTTTTTTTTTTTTTTTTTACAACTTTAAATACAGTACTGAGTATAAATTAATCTTACATTTAGGAAAAAAAAAGCAAAAAAAAATCGAAACAAAATAAAATCTCACCATCTTTACAAAACAAAGGAAGCAGATTTTTTTGGAACAGGAGAACAAAGTGTTTTAAGACTTGAGGGCAGAGGGAGGGAGTAACGTGCCACCTCGGTGGTGGCACAAGAAGTGCTCTGGCCCTACAGGAGGCGAGGGCCAGGTCCCTCAACTGGGAAGAGCTCCCAGGTCACGGCTTTGCCTCCTTGCCCCAGCTCCCTCTGGGGCTTTGCCCCACAGCAGGGGTGCATATGCATGTGAGGGGAGAAGTGGCTGGAGGCAGGAGGGACAGTGGGCAGCAACACTAGCTCCAGGCAGGCATTTTTGTCACGTGTAACCTTGCAGCACCCAGCAAGGCCCGATTCAAAGGCTGGAACTCCGAGGTGACATTGGAAATTGCCATCATATGTAACATTTCTGCTAACAGTGGCTGAGAAACAGCCCTTGCTGGTGGAGTCCTCCTCCAGAGCTGGCAGCGGGCTGGGAGGGACTCTACAACTGCCCCTCTGGTTGTTCTGCAAGTCCTCTTTGCTTGGAAGAGCTCATTTCTGTCTCACACGGCTGCTGCCAACAGAAAACACCATCCTAATTTCTCTGTCTATACCTACACACAGCTTGCCCAAATCTCGGTCCAACTTCCAAGCTAGGTGGGCTGGGAACATCTAAAGGGCAAAAATCCAGAAGGAATCTGAGAGGGAAAAAGTGAGGAAAATCATGGGAGATGCGGGGACGTTGTCAGGAAAAGACCAGTGGAGGCACGGCGTGCAGGAAACCCGTGAAGGGGTTAAAAACCTCAGAGGAATGACTCGATTCTGCTTTCAGGACCACAGAGCAGGCAAGGACAGCTCACCGAGATTAAGTCATGCTTCTAAGTTTGGCTGTTGTCTGTCTTGTTGTGGTGCCGCTTCGCCTCCTGCAAGGAAGTTGTGCTGAGGAGGGTGGTTGTTGGAGAGTGGGAGAAAAGGGCAGCAAGACAGAGGGAGATCAGATGATGCCTCTGCCCGTGTCCCGTCCTGGACCTCGCAGGCACGTTGCAATAAGGGTGCGTGTGCTCTTCTGCCAGCCCGACGAAGGCGACGCAAGCACGTGCCTGGGAGCTTCCTGCCACCAGGGAATGAAATCCATTTAAGAACATATATATATATATATTTATATATGTATGTATAAATACACATACACACACGCACGCACACGTATATATATATATATACACACACATATACACGCGCACACGTACAAAGCAAATTTAAAAAATAAGTTTTGAGTCCGAGCCTGGAAAGTCGAATTCTCCACCAGCATGTGCAAAGATGGCTCCCCTGGGCAGGGGCCGGGGGCGTGGAGATGATTCTGTTGCAGTCTGTTCCTTCCCCACGATCCAAACACCTTCCAGTCAGCACCAGGAGCAGAAGGGGAAAGGGAGTGTGGGGAGGAATGCATTTGGCTTCTTTGTTTTGTTTTGTTCGTTTGTTCTGTTCCCCGAGACGTTGTATATCTTAGTGGTTTTGGTTTTCTCTTTTTTCTTTTTTTCTTTTTTTTGTAAAATAAAATATACACACGCACGTTAAAAATATATATCTGTCCAGTAGGGCGATAAAAGTCCTTAGTGCATTTTCCGTCGTTGGTCGTTGCCACTCGCAATCTGAGACGCGTCTGTTTTCAACATGTAGGTCCAGTGCAAGTGTTGATCTCAGCCGGGCCCCCCCAGCCTTACCAGAAACACAAGGGAAAGGGAGAATATTCCCTTTCTGCCCTCTGTCCATTTGTTTTTCTCCTCCCATCGGAAGAAATTGGACCCACTTTCCTTTTCACATTTTCCATCCTGTCCTCTGGAGTGGGGAAGGCATTGTCCTGTCCTCGCTGCATGTTGTGGCTGTTGGGGTTCATGGTTTTATTTGTACTTTGTTCTTTTCTCATATATATAGATAATAGGTCACGTTTGTCCTTTTTTTGTGTGTGTGTAAAACTTTAAAATTATGCTAATAAATGAAAGAAGGGAGAGGCTTTGGTGGGAGAAGGTCCACTGATGGAAAGGGAAGCACCAATTGCCGTCTGAATCAGACGTCGAGGCAGACGGACACAGACGAAAAGTTATCACTCCAAGGACCCCATGGGGGCAATACAGCAAATATATTAAATAAACCTGGAAGTGAAAAAAAAACAGACACGGCATCAGGATATGCAACCCTCTCACCCCGCAGTTCCCCTCCTCTCCCGTTTTCCCCTCTGGCAATGTTTGTGTTGAAGTGCCAGATTAGAAGCCCAGGAGGGCTTCTGACCTTCTCTACTTTTTCCCCTAGACAGCTTGAGCCAGAGCTGAGATTTGCATGGCTTTGCATAATTTCTACCCTGGGAACTTTGGGCTGGCCAGGAGGATTCTGGGATAATCAGAGCCCTTGTAGTACTAAGTGTAGGAATATCAACCCCAGGACACCTCCTGGCACCCCTCATCCCCAGCTCCAGAAACATCATGCGTGGAAGCCTGCTGTCCCCTCTCTCCAGGTGAGGGGAAGTGAAGGTGAAGCGAGTGGCCCAAGCTCATTCAAGGGGCCATGGCAGAGCTGAGACTGCTGAGACCTGGGCAGGGCCTTTTCCTGTTAGGCTATGCCACCTCTCCCTAAATTCAGCCCCCACAGCCTGTGCCCTGGCTACCATTCCTCTCTTTTCTGCGCCTTCCCCTCTCTCATGAGGAGCCAGGGCTTATTTGCCTTTCCCTTGCACCAGTGAAATTCTTCCGATGGCGAGGGAATTACTCCTGTTTACATAAGTCAGGGAGAGAAGAATCAGACCCTGGACTGACAAAGTCCAGACCTCTTGTCAGAGATTCCAGTTCTCCCTTCCCTGGTATGACCTTTCTTGTGCACACAGGCTTCCTGCTAGGAGAGAGATGAACCAAAAGCGTTGCTGCTTTTCAGTCGTTCTGCCAACTCAACTAATGAAATAAAAAGGAAAAGGGTTCCCCAGAGCAACATTAATTCTCTGCTTTCAACAGAGAATCAATAGAGAAATGAGAACAGGAGTTGCTCTGCAGAAGAGATGAATTACGCCGACCCCAAGGGGACTGAGGTGTAGAGAGAAGCCAGGCTTGCTTTCTGCCTATAAGGGAGGCAGAGAAAGGAGAGGCCGGGGCCCGAGAGCAAGTGTTGGTTGCAGCATGATCCTTCCACCTTTGCAAAGAGCCATAAAGCCATAAATAGGATGCACATGCTGGCTCCTCGCCTAGTCCTTCCCCCTCCTTCAATGCGGATTTTATCATGCCCAGGCCCTGCAGGAACAGCCAGTGCTGCAGGAAGAGTCCAAGGTGCCTGGGCAGAACTGTGTTCTGGGAGAGCACCTCTTGAATGGAAAAGCAGCTTGTGCCATTACCTGCCTTGTGCTCTCTCTCCCCGGCCAGCACTTCTATGCTATGAGGATTTCTTTCAGCACTTTCTTATCGTTGACATGCTTGTACTTCTTATGTTTCCTCTTCTGCACCGGCGGCCGGCGTACTCGCTGCCTCTGTGAGACAGCGTCACGGCGGTTAAAAAGCCTGCCAAAACAGAGGGGAGAGTGTCTGTACGGTGAGGGGCAGCCGGCTCGTGCTGAAATATCTTTCTCCACACACTATCAACAAAGAGCTCTGCAACAGGAGGGTCACAAGGCCTCCTTCTGTTCTTCTGCCCCTTGTCCTCTGTTCTCCACAGTCTCTGCCCTCTCCCTTTTCCCACGATGCCCTTCCCCTCACCTCTCATCTCCCTCCCCCTTCATTCCCCTCGGTTTCAGCCCCTTGCTGGCAGGCAGGCGTCCTGGGAAAGGTCCCTTGGCTGTTATGAATCAGCAAAGGCCCATGGGATGCGCTGAGCTAAGGAGACTGAAAACAGTGGAGGGCCCTTCCCTCTCTCCCCGGCCTCTCTTCTCACGCCTCCCTCCACTCTGCTAACGCCAAGATCCTTACGTCTCTGTTCACGTGGCCCTGGCCGGCTGCTTCTGATGGGTGGACGGGACACGGCTTCACACCGACACTGCACATGGTCCTCCAAAGGCACAACGACTTTTTTGAATTTTGGCTTCCTCTGGACAAATTCGATCTTGTTCACCTGTTTGGAAGAGAGAGGCAAACAAAAGATTAATACAGCTGCATCTCCCACTGTAAAAATAATCAGTGTCGGTATGCTTCAGTACCAGCTTGCTTCCTAAAAAGTCAGAAGATGGTTTATAAAGCACAATTCGAATTCAGGAGTGGTGTGTACAAGACCTAATTCTGCACATGCCAGCACAGCCGACCTAGGTCAGGCAGGTTGGGAGTGACTGGGTGTTTCTCCCTTTCCTAGCTATGGCCGCTGCTGAAGCAGGATGATTGGTTGATTGCAGACAGAAACGTGGGACGTGCAGAACACACTGGCCTGTTTCTGACAGATGTGACAACAGAGACCTGTGGGCAACCAGAATTAATTCCCATGGGCTCCTACAGCAAGGGCAAAAGGAGAAAAACTCCATCCCAATGCAAGCGAATGCAGCTTCACTAGCTCTGCTGAGGCCTGTCTGAATTTGTCTCAAGCTCTTTAATAACTTGCAGGGCTGAAGCCCTCAGCTCCGTGTTTCGCGGGAAAGACAGTGCTCTGGAAATTCCCTCAGATTCTCCACCAGTGCTGACTCAGAGGGAAGACTCACTGCTCCACATCCCACCACAGGGCACAAGCTTTCTAAGGGGGTCCTCCCACTCCAGGAGCGGCCAGGCCTGACCCCACTCAGCTTATCTAACAAGACTGCGGTCCCTGAAGTGCTCCGCAAGCTATAAATACTTGCTCTGCCGCATGTCTGGGATTGAATTCCTCTAAACCCACTGCCCCCAGCAGCATCCCTCAGCCAGCGCTGAGGCAGCCAGGCTGTTTATCTTTCCTTGAAAGCCCACTCCACACACTTCAGACCACACGCTGCTCGCTAGACAAACACTTCCAGCCAAACAATAGGGAGACCTCTGTCCTCAAAGAAACCATTTCCAGGTCACTTTTTCAGGCTGGCTTTTGACCTCTCACTTGTTTTTTCCACAAAAACAACTCCCGCTCCCCCACATTTTTCCCTCATTCAACCTGGCTTTTCTGAGAAAGGAATTTCCTGATGAAGAGGGCTGTGTGAATACAACCTCTCCCAGCCAACCTCTGCTGCCTGCCTGGAGGAGTCTCTTACGGCTCAGGCGGAGGATTAGTACGGAACGAGTATTATTTTTAAACAAGCTGTCTGGGAGGAAGCTGTGAGGAGATCACTGGTAGCTGTGGGCAGGGCAGGATCAGAGCAAGAGGTTAGCTGTCAGGTGGCTGCTTGCTGTTGGAGTGGGTCAGGAGGTAACCGTGGGACTGATAATCAAGAGGAGAAGCCACTACAGTATGAGCCTTGGGAAGAAGCTGCAGCAGCAACTGGGGGATGGAGCACTGACACTGCAAACCCTCCTCTTTTTGCACTGAAGTCAGTTCCCACAATGCAAGCTTCCTGTTTCTTCTGTTCTAATGCAGCAAGCAAGGCCACCTCCAGCCACAGAAATAGCCATGGAGTAGAGCTGCAGCTGGGGACAGTGCCCTGTGGCGATGCTGTGGTGACAGTCCCCAGCTGCGGGACAGCACCAGCTCTCCCAGTAGCTGCCCTGGACATCAACTGGCACCAGCGGCTGCAGTGCTGTGCAGCTAATGCAGCAAATGTGACTGCAGCAGGGGCACAAGGGAACAGAAGGTGGTGTTTGAACCTTGCAGCTGAGCCCCGCAGTGGTTTTGGTTTTGGGAGGGTGAGGCATGGAGGCGGATTGTGGTTAGGAGGGAGCAGCAGGAGGAGTCTCCCTTACCTGGACGTGCCGGACACGGATCTGCGTGGGGCGACACTGCACGTTGCGGTTGTTGCAACACCCAGAGCAGCGCTGCACCTCTACACAGGGCGGCCACACCACGAAGTTGGCGTTGGTGCTGTCCACCATGTTGCGGGAGATTTCAAAGACCACCGCCCGCGTCTTGCACTCTGCAAGGACAGCTGGTTCTGCTGCTGCCAGAGCATCTATGGAGGGCCAAGAGAAGAAGTGGGGGATGAAACAGGCTTTGCAGCTGTTACCAACCTGCTGCAGCCAGCTCTACTGGAAGAGAAGGACCCCACACGGCTCGCCCTCTCTCACACACACACACATGTTTTTTCTCCTTCTCCCACCCCTCCTGCTCCCTCCCTGGATAGAGCCATGCCTGGTGGAGGAGCCCTCAGTAAAATGATGTTTCTTGCTGCAGCAGCAGCCCTAAGCAGATGACACTTCGCACCAGCGGGATTTAAAGCAGAGCAGCTTGCAGAGCTCTAGACTCCCTCTCCTGCCCTCCTGGGGCGTAACACGCAGCTCCCGTGCCAGGCCCGGACCCTCCTTCTCATCTGTCTACACAACCTTGCCCACGGTGACGTCTACTCTGAGACGTGTTTCAGACATGCATGTGCACCCACCCACAGCTGCTCAGATGAGTGCCCCAAAAGTCACAAGGTGCAACACTCTTGACTCACCCAGACTTCGTCGCTCTCGAGACAGGGCCATGGGGTTTTGACCAGTCCAAGTTGCGTTCAGGTCCAGGGTCGAGCTATCCTCCTCTGCAAAGGGAAAGACATGGCCTAATAGCACCAGGCAGAGGCAGGAGAAGACAGCAGGCCCTTGTGCTCTGCTCACCAGCGAAGTGCAGAGGCGTGGGATGAGCCACAGCCCCAGTAGGTCACGCTAGCTGTAAATCCACCATCAAGGTCACAGCTGTGCTGGGTCACAGATGCTCCAAGTTTCCTCTTTGCTCGGACTGGGCAGTTCATAGCAACAAGCCTACTGTGACAGAAGGGTCCCAGCTAGGTCTTTAAGAGGAAGACTCCAGCTTAAGAACGATGAGGCCTACAGTGGGGCTGCCTAGTGCCAGAGAGGAGTAGCAGAGAGATGCACAGCAGCTGGCTGAGGCCAGGGTATGGCAAGGAGGATAAAAGACCAGATGAGACAAGAGGAAAGTTTAGTACAGAGCACTGAGGTGCCTTGCTGGGATGGCTTGGGACTGGGAGAGTTGGAGTGTGAGAGGGCAGGTGAAGGTGACCAATGGGTGGGAGATGGGGTGCTTACTTTTTGTCTTACAGCCCACCACAGCTGCTCCAGACTAAAGTCAGTGTTATGACAGAGGAACAGAAAAATAAAGTTGAAACAGGCTTTTCCCCTATCCTACTCTAAGGTAAGCTGCAGAATCTGGAGATATTTCAGTCAGCAATGGGAGAGGAAGGCAGATAGCATTCAGGCCAGCCCTGAGCAGTTCCCTCCCACCCCACTGCTTTTTCCCATAGGAAGCGCTGAATAGAGAAATGCCCATAATCCCCATGGAGCACTCCAACACACAGCCCCTCCTGAGCGCCGGACAATGGCCGCGCACGGAGATAGCTCCCACCCAGCCACAGCTCTTTCCTTCTCTGACCTGCTTTAGCAGCTGAAGGAAGCTGAATGGACGTCAGCATCAAGGGAGCAATTTTCTTAAAGGGAATTTGGGGCCAGTGGAAGATCTCTGTTTATCAGATATGCGGTGGAGCAGACTTCCCATACCTATCATGTCCCATCCCTCTTCCTCAGCCCTGCCCTAGTGCAGCTCTTTCATATGGGTGAGCATGGACTTTGCTCCTCGCTCTGCTCTGAAGCAATTGCTGCAGGATTTGGGATGAGTGCACAGAGGCTGTATTCACAAGGCAGGAATCACGAGCCTGTGCAACCGACAGCTCTGCATGAGGTGGACAGATGAAGCATCCTTTAAAGCAGCCAGAAAGGCACAATCAATTCTAGGGCATCATTCATCTCACCCCAAGGCAGATGCCCAAAATGAGACTTGGTGGGTCACGCTTTCCCAGGGCACATTTCTGCAAGGGTAGGTACAGAGGGTGTCAGGACAACTAGCTCAGATGGTCATGCCTACTTTTCAGGCAGCCACACTTAAAGGAGATGACATCCTCTCTCCACACCTCTGTTGTTGGGTCTCCAGTAGTGTCTAGGGTCAGGAGGGAGAGTATCAGCTCATCTGCCACCTGCAGCCACCTAATCCTGGCTCCCTGCACAGTCAGGGCAGCAACCCTGGCACAAACAGGGTGCATGGACAGAGCAGGGAATAGCCCCAGCTGCTCTAGGATTATTTTGCTAACACACTTGTTTGCTGATACACTAATTCCACAAAGGGCAAGCAAATGGTGACGCACCTCAGTCACTACCGAGGAGCAGATAAGAGCCACAGGGTGCAGTGAAGGAGATGGCTTCACAGCACCACTTTCTATTTCCCTGACTAGCCTTTCCCATCCAGGACCTGAAGTGAAACCAGAGACACAAAGCTCTGCAGCCTTCTCCCATACCCCAGGGCCTTTCAAGTTAAGAAGAGCAGCTCATTTTCTATCTTAACAATGAAGGGCGGTTAGGAACTGTGATAGAGAGGTATCTGTTCCTTAGACACCAGGACACAGCAGACTGCACGTGTCTTCTCAGCCGCTCCTTCCCCACCCCTCCATCCTGCACTGCCTGGCATTGGCATTTTATCAAACGAGGGTGGGAGCTGACTTTTGCACTGAGGGTGAGTTGATGGGGCCGGGGGGTGGGGAGGATGGGGTGTCGAGAACAGCAACAACTGTTGACTCACAAGAAATCTCCTATTCAAAACAGGGTCCCTCCCTCCCCTATGTTGACCTTCTACACCCCAGGTCAGCACTGAAGAGGGTTGGGGCA